GGGGGGAAGAGCACAATCCTTGGTGTTCTATTTTCTATTTTGCTTTTCAGCCTAGGAGCCTTTCTGCAAACAAAATACAAGATGCAGTGTAAACAGATCAAAGCTAAGCAAAGCTGCTCCCATCTGCTGGGGGCCCACCCTCCCAGCCTGGGCCCTGGGGGCTCTTCTGGCCATGCAGGCTGGGAGTGGCCCCCTCTGTGTAAGCAGAAGGGGGGCTGCATGCCCCCAGTCCCTTTCCTTGCCCCAGGGTCTGGAATGCCCACCCCACCCCCAGATCAGGCACCATTCTGGGGCCTCCTGTGTGAAGGTGCACGTAGCATGCTGATTCTCTCAAAGAAGCAGTGGTCCTCTAGAACTTCTAGAACCCAGCAGGCACCCCCAGAGGGCAGGGGCCCAGGCACGGATGCAGCTCTCAAAGGCAGATGGGGTGAGAGGCAACCTCCGGGATGTGCTTTCTTCTCCCACTCGCCCATCTCCCAGACAGAGGTACCTGAACTCCTGCTCCCCTCTCCGGTCGGGCCCTTGCCACACTCTGTCCTCTGCAAGAAGTCCTGCCTTAGCCTCACAAGTGACCGCTCCCCAGAGTGCAGGCTGGGTTTGATGGGTGTGGACAGAGGTCACCCTGGGGGTGGGGCGAAGGACACAGAAAGGAGCTGCCTGGAGGTCGACGATGCGTTTTCCTGTTTCTGTGCTAGGCCTGGGGGGCATATGGTACAGGGGGCCCTGCTGGGGGCACTGAGGAGTTCTGCCTGCTCCGTGCTTCTGCCCAGGCCGACCCTAGTGGCTACTGAGATCCCCAGGATCTGTTCAAGCCAGATCGATGAACTTCCCCACAACCTGGCCAGCCCCTGGGGCCAGGTCCCGCCCAAGGCTGACTGAGCAGTAACCCCACGCGGTAGAGAAAGCACACTCCAGACGGCTCAGTCATGCCACACGGCTGCAGTGATAACCCCTGGAAATCCGGGCTAATGCTGGGAAATCCGTCCGCCTGCTCATCAGAGCAGCACTGACAGCTTCACTCTGCGCCCGCACCTGCACGCGGGGGGAAACGGGCACCTGCTGGGCACCTGCAGACGTGTGTGCACACGCACCTGGGCACACGCCCGTGCCCACAAACGTACACACCCATACACACACGCATCTCTGCATTCACACGCACACACACCTGAACTCACCCCTGTACACTCATGCCTGACTCAGACCCCTGCCTGGGCACACACACACACACACACACACACACACACACACAGCAGCCAGGCCTACAGCTTCCACTGGGGCACCTTGTAGTGCTGACAAAACACAGCACAGATACAGCCCCAGGACTGCCTATGCCTCTAGGAGGTCTGGCGGTCTGAACCCGCAGGGACTTCAGAGCTCCCCTCCCCTTCCTCATTCAGCAGCCCAGAGGGGAGGGTCGTGTCCCCTGTCCCACCCCTCAGGTGCAGAGCAGGGTCTTAGGCCACAAGTTGGTGTGAGGCCAGCCTGCTGTGTGACCCCAGGCAAGTAAGTCCCTGCCCCTCTCTGGGCCTCAGAAAAGATCATTTCAGAGGCTCCTTTTCATAATCAATACTGAGGGGAGCCTCCTAAAAAGGGAAAAAAGAGAGGCAGGCAGGGTGGCCTAGAGAGATGTGGGAGCTGAGAGAGGGGGCTGGGCCTCGGCCGCTGGAGGGTCTGACACCCTGGGAGGGTGTGGACCCCACGGGGTAGCACTGTGCTGGCAAGCAGCCAGAGGAACCTACGGGAAGTCAGAGTAAGGGGCTCACCCACCGTGTTGTCTGCCTTCCAGCCCTGTACTGTTACTCCCTGAGGAGGCAAGGGAAGGAGCCTCCTGGTAATGCCGAAGGTCATTTCTCAAGCCGCCAGCTTCCTGGACTGGGGCATGGCTTCCCCTGCTGGCTCTGGAGGCCCCTTGGGCACTGCGGGGCAAGGGGCTTCTGTCTGCACCTGCACCCCGCAGGCCAGTGGGGGGGCTGGAGACCTGGCTCACAGCATGAGCTGGGCCCAGTGGCCGCTTTGACTCAGGTCAGAGTGCAGGGTGACCTGGAGCCAAACCGGAGGGCTCTGACCTCAGGGCACTGACGTCTGCTTCTCAGGACCCCTCAGCCCACAGCCGCCATTGGAAGACAGGCCACAGGCCTCCCTGGGCCAGGCCACGGGTTTCAGAATGGAGGGCACAGCTCCTGCCCTCGAGGAACTGTTGGAGAAGTGGTACCTGCCAAAGAAGCCCCAGGGCAGGGAGGTGTCCCAGGGCTGCAGGGGGCAGCGTGGACTGGGCTCCTGAGTTAGGCGGAACAGGGTCAAGTTCAGCCATGCCACTTACTGGCTGTGTGATCTCAGACAAATCACTTCACGTCTCTATGCCTTTGCGTCCTCATCTGTAAATTGGGATGGTGACATCTACCCTAGCCTGCTGCTGTGGAGCCTGCTGGCCATTAGGCAGAGTGTTTGGCACATGACAAGCACCCCATCCATGGCAGCTTTCGCAGCAGCCTCACCGAAAGCCAAGCATCCCTAGGAGTTCACACCTGGGTGGGCTCATGGCTTCAAACGCCATCCATGGGCTGACGACTCCCCCGGCTACATCTCCAGCCCGGCCCTCAGCCCCGAACCCCGGACTTGTAGCATATTCAACTTTTGGCTCAACGGCGGCACTTGGCCCTCTAACAGGCATCCCAAACTTAGCACATCCAAAGGACTGCCCGATCTCTGCCCCCAAGCAGGCTCCTCTGCCGTCAGATTCCCCACCTTAGGGCCGGACATCCCTTCCTTCCGATGATCCGCACACCGAAAACTACAGAGCCATCCTTGATTCTCCTCTGCACTTCTTGCCCCACATGCAGTCCATCCAAAATCCAGCCAGCTCCACCTGCAGGAGCCCCCGCTTCCCATCACCCCTGCTGCCAGCAGCCCCTTGTTGAGATCACTGCAGTTACCCCCACGTTGGCCCTGTTCCTGGCTCACTTCCTCAGGGCTCCGCCCAGCAGCAGGAGGGATCCTTCTAAATCTGAACTATGTTCCATTCCTCACCGCTCAGAACCCCACTGTGGCTCCCTACTCGCTGACGGTAGAAGCCAGCATCCTTCCCACAGCCTCCGGGTCCTCCACCATCTGCCCTGTCATCTTTCTGACCCTGTCCCCATCACCCTCCTCCGGGTTCCTCAGCCCCAGCCTCCCCCCCCCCACAGTGGGTAAACTGCCTTCACACCCATCATGCCATGTGACTTACAACACCTTAAGGACCGCAAGAGAAGGATCATGGCCCCAATCTACTGATGAAGAAACTGAGGCGGAGAGGCCAGCTGGCTTGCCCAGGATCCCAGACATGGAGCTCGGACCAGGAGCTGGGGTCCTCAGTCCCCACAATCCCCCCTGTCTCTGGCCTCTGGCTTCCGGGACTCCCAATCCTTTAAGATAAAACCCCACAGAAGCCAGGCAGTGCTGGGGCCGGGTTGTGGGCAGAGTACACAGGGTCCTGGGGTGAGTCCAGGCCCACAGGATGGCATGACAGAGCCAGCAGGACACAACCTCTCTGCAGCTCTGGATGTTGGAGCGGATGACATCCCCGGCTCCTGGGGCATCGGAGGCTCGGGGACCAGGAAAGAAGGAGTGAGTGCCTGATCCCTCCCTCCCTCACCTAGGGATCTGTTGGGATCCCATGAAGGCAGAGAGAGGGGCAGACAGAGGAGGAGGAAGAGAGGAGTGGAAGGCAGGGAAGATGGGGCTGGGTAGGGACAGAGGTGAGGGAGAGTCTAGAAGAAAACGGAGGCTGACAGAGGGTCAGCGTCCAGGGCTGACAGAGAGGAGAGAGGGAGGTGATGGGAGGGAGAGAGGAAAGAGGGAAAGAGCTGCGGAAGACAGGAGGGAGAGGAGATAGGAGGGAAGGCGAAGCAGGAGAAGAGAAAGGGTGGGAGACAGGAGAGACAACCTGGAGGCTGGAGAACAGACTGGAGACAGAGAAGGCAGCGGGGAGTGGAAGAAGGCATCTCCAGAGCAGGGTGAGAGGCCGGGGAGCCCCCGGAGGCTGCCTCCGGGCTCACGGCCTCTCACCCACCCGCACCCCCCACCCCTGGGGGGCTCCGCCACTCACCTTGTCTGCCGACTGCGAGGTGCCAAAGAAGATGGGGATGAAGGCGAGCCAGACGATGCAGGTGGTGTACATGGTGAAGCCAATGGGCTTGGCCTCGTTGAAGGTCTCCGGGACACCGCGTGTCTTGATGGCGTACACGGTGCACGTGACCATGAGCAGCATGCTGTAGCCCAGCAGGCAGATGAGCGACAGGTCCGAGATGTCGCACTTGAGCACGCCCCTGGCGAAGCGGGGGTCGAGCGTCCGCTGGTCCTGGAAGTCCACCACCGAGTGGGAGGGGTCCACCACAAACCACACGCAGATGCCAAGCAGCTGCAGCGAGATGAGGCTGAAGGTGATGGCCAGCTGCGAGGCCGGGCTGATGAAGCGCGGGGCGCTGACCGACCGCTTGCCCTGCTCGAAGATGCGGTAGATGCGGTTGGTCTTGGTGAGCAGGGCCGCGTAGCTGATGCTCATGCCCAGCCCCAGGAAGATTCGGCGCAGAGAGCAGGTCCCCAGGTCAGGCTCGGCAATCATGAGGAAGGTGGTGGCGTAGCACAGGAAGATGCCAGCCAGCAGCACGTAGCTCAGCTCGCGGCCCGAGGCCTTGACGATGGGCGTGTCGTTGTAGCGCACGAAGGTGACCACCACAAAGAGCGTGGCAGCGATGCCCACCACGGCCAGGAAAAGGGGCGGCACGGCCCAGGGCGAGTCCCACTCGAGCTTGATGATGGGGATGGGTCGGCAGCCCGTGCGGTTCTCTGTGGGCCGCATGTCATACGGACAGGTCTTACAGGTGTAGCGATCCACCTGGTACTGGTACCCCGTGCAGGGCTCACAGTGCCAGCAGCAGGGCATGCCCTTCACGGTCTTCTTCCGCTCGCCCGGCTGGCAGGGCAGGCTGCAGATGGAGCGGGGCAGCTGCTGCCCACTCCCCGGCCACTGCATCCGCTCTATCTGCCAACGACAGCACAGGGGAGCCGGCCTCAGGATATGCCGCCCGGTGCCCCGGGCCACCCCACTGGCCCCACGCCTCAATCACCCAGTTAAATGGGGGAAAATGCAGCCGCCCAGCCCCACCAGGACCCGCCGGATCCAACAGCTCAGTTTAAATAAGTCCCCCCCCTACCCTCACCGCGTGATTCAGACATAGCTGACCTATGGGGAATCCTAAACTCTCAAGGACCGTATGGAGACACGGAGCCCAGAGAACAGCAGTGACAACCTAGAGTCACCCGGGGAAGCAGAGAGAGCTCAAGAGCTCTGAACCCCAGCCCCTTATGCCCTTGCTGGTCCCCAGACCAGCAGCAGCAGCATCACCCAGGAGCTTGCTGGAAATGTGACATTTTGGCCCACCCCAGACCTACTGTCTTAGGATCTGAGTTTTAGCCAGACCCCGCAGGTGACTTATGTGCATGCTGAGAAATGCGCTGCCTCATGGCTTAGCCCAAGGGGCCTCCTCCGGGCGGCTCAGGAAGCTGAGTTCAGCAGAGAGCAATGAACAGAAGTTTCCGCAGAGGATGCGTAATATGTGCCCAGGGGTTAGCGTTTCTTTACATCTTGCTCTAAATTCGTGCAAGTCACTGTCATATGTCCCCGAAGACACAACTGCTGTGAGCAAAGGAGCCACAGGCGTGTTGGCACACCCTACTGAATTCAGGGTTACAAAAGTCTGGAAAGTAGGGGAGAGGCCCAGAAGAACTCTAGGCCCTGAGCAGAGGGAGTCAGACTACACTTGGGAGCCATATTCAAAGCATCTGTTCCAGGGGTGCCTGGGTGGCTAAGACAGTTGAGCATCCAATTCTTGATTTCAGCTCAGGTCATGATGGAGGGGCTCCCAGGGTTGTGGGATCAAGGAGATCCCAGGGTTGTAGGATCGTGCCCCGCGTCGGGCTCCGTGCTGAGCGCGGAGCCTGCTTAAGATTATCTGTCTCTCTCTCTCTCCCTCTGCCCCTCTCGCCCATTTGCACTCTTTCTTTTTCTCTAAAAAATAAAAACAAAAAACAAAGCCTCTATTCCAAATAAAGTGGCCCTTAGGAAGAGGTCACACTTGGAGAGCAGCACGCCTGGCCAGATAGGTGCTCCTTTGGGCTGGGTACTCGCTCCCAGGGAAAGATTAACTGGTTGGTCGGGCGAAGGGAGGGTTTCAGAGTTGAGGAAAAGGTGGGGGCGGGGGGGTGTCCAAAGACGGCCTCATGGGAGGCGAGAAGGAAACCTCAGGGCTCCGGGCATGACAGGGCCACGTGGTCCTAAAAGCCCAAGAGCA